TATATATATATATATATATATATATATATATATATATATATATATATAGATATCTCTAGGTACTGATTTAAAAGCTATTCTTTATATTCAATTTTAACCATTTGTTTAATCCATAGTGATATATATATATATATATATATATATATATATATATATATATATATATATAATTTTTTATTTATAGTTGTATAGATTATTGGAAATATATTTTAAAAATTATAAAAATACTGTATATAATTATAAAAATAGTTTTTTGTTATTTCTTGTAAATTTTGAACAACAAAAAATTCTTTATTATAATTTTTAAAAATAAGTTAGGAATTTCTTATTTTTTTATTAACAGAATCATCTTTTAAGAAAAACATTATCAAAGTCTTTATATATATATATATATATATTCTATTAATTTTTTGAATAATTTCTTTTAAAAACTAAATTTGAAATGTCAGATATTTAGAATGATTATTATTTATATGACTAATTAGAGGTTTAAAATCATGAGATAAAAATGAGTGTTGGCCACAAATTTTTATGCTAGTAAGTATATAAAAAATACTTTAAATTATTATTATTATTGGTAAAATAATTCAAGTACTTTTAGTATTCAACTTCTTAAATAAAATAATATTCTTTTGATTAAGTTTTAATAATTAAAGATTTGTTCTTTAACTATTATAGATTTGAATATAGACAAACTTATTTACATAATATATATATATATATATATATATATATATATCAAAAATTTTAGAATTAGAATAGCTTTGACTAAATAAAAAAAAGTTGAAGAATATTGAATAAATCTTATAACATATAAAATACAATAAAATAAAATAAAAAGAACATTGATAAGGCTAAGGATGGCTTTGGTCTTGCCTCCATATATATCAACTAAAAATAAGGTTAAGTAAAAGCTCATTAAAAACTATAAGGATTCTAGACCAAATATTTAAATTTTAGGAGACTTTTATTATATTATTTTAAAAGTAAAATTTTTATAAAAGAAGCTTTCATAATTTTGTATTATATATAATAATATCTTTTAATTTAATCTTAAATTCTTTATAAAAAATAATATTCTTTAAATTTTAATATTATCTATCTAATATGTTTTTAATAATTTCTATTTATTTCTATTTATGTCTATAATATATGCATCTATTATATAATTATTCTTTCACAAGTAAGTTTTCAGATGTGTGATCAATTTTTTTTACAAATTGATAAATTTTAAGATCTATTAAATAGTATTTTCTACACATTTTAATTTATATTATGCACAAAGATGATTTATAAAACCTTTAAGATATTAACAAAGTTTTATTTTCAAGCAAGAAGTTCTTTCAATTATTTAATTATGTAAAACTAACACATTTTAAATGTTAATATGAATAGTCTTTACTTCCAAAAATGGCAATAAATGCCAAAATTATTTTTGTATGTAGTACTACATGCATTGTATTTGGTCATCTATTTTATAAAAAAATATATTTTTGAAGGCTTTTCATTTTTATTTGAATATTGTAAAAGTTGTAAAAATCTAAGTATTTTATTTTTTAAAAATTCTTATAGAAATTCTTGAGATAGTTTTGCAGGCTATGTGTTTTTTAAACCTTTATAAAGAATATTTTTTAAAGTGGCTCCAAATTTGTTCTAAAAATGATTAATTATTAGTTATGAATTTTATTTTATTTATATTTTTTGATATTAATGGTTCATTCATATTTTCAATGGATGTTTTTTTGGTAAAAGTGAAAATAAAATATAAACCCATTTTATAACATATGCAAGAATATTGGATGGATATTTTATATATTTACTTATATCATATCTACACTAATATAAAAATGTGTTTGAAGAATTTTAGGATAATTTCAAATTCAATACTTTTTATTTTTCGTTTTATACTACTATTTATTTCAAGTAAAATTAGTTGATATTGCTTCTTTTTGATATATTGATTTTATTTATGGTTTGATCAAAGAGAATTTAAAACATAGAAATAATATTAAAAATATTCTTAAGTATTTCTTAAAATTAAAATTAATATACAACTCAATAGATAATTTTTGAAAAATAAGATATCTAAAATTTAAAGAATCTGAATTTTTATGATATCAATTTATCTTAATATTACAACAAAATAATAAAAAAAAAAATTAATAACTTTAAAAAAAAAGGTTTGTTTTTTCTAAAATAATCCACATTGATTTTATTGATAAATTTCTTTCTGAAGATTTATATTCATCATTGAATAATTTTGTTATATTTTACCTCCTAATTCTTTTATTAAATGATTATATTTTAGAATCTATGGATAACATAGATGCACTTCTTTTGATATTTATATTATATTTTAAATATCATTCAAATATTTGATTTATATATATTTCTTATCTATTAGATTAAAGATAAAGTGCTAAAGAAAACTAATTACCTATTTTAACATCTTGAATTAAATATTTTTTGAATCTTTAATAGAAATATTATATTAATTAGTGATTTATAATACTAACATATATTTATATAAATGATAGTTTTTATATAAAGTACATGATATATAATTTTGGTTCAAAATATATTATTAAAAAATTTAATATAAAAATAATAATTAATATATTTTAAATAAAAATCTATTGAATCAAAAGACTAAATGTTTTTAAAATTGGCAATGATCAAAGAAGTCTATACACTTCATAATATGGAGTCTTTTTCTGAGACTAAATATTCCCAAATTGTACAAATAATTTAATAAAATTTTACATTTATGACTATAAAATATCTCTAAAATTAAACTCTAAAATTGTTTTATATCTAAGATTTCTTATATTAAAAAATTTACATTGTACTTAGTATTTTGACATAAGTAAAGTATTTTTAATTAAACTAATATAAATTTTATTTTTATCTTTAAGAACAAAAAAATCTATTGATATATTAAAAAGAAAAAACTAATAAATTTTTTGATGTCAATGAAATTTGTTTTAGCTATCTAGTTTAAAGATATTATTTATTTAATTTCAAAAGATTTTTTTTAGGTATATATAATTTCTTTTTGTTGATACAAGAAGGGATTGCTTAGATAAAATATTTGATAAGCCTTATTATTTATTGGAACAATATATAAGATTAAATACAAGTCGTAACAAATGCATATTCTAACTAGTTTGGTGAAAGTTTAAGACACATGTTCATGTGAAATACTTAAGATTCTTATAATTAGTATAAATTGTGATAAGATTAAAAACATCTTCTAGACAATACTATTACTTTTATAACAAATCTTTGGAGCAATAAAAAAAATTATTAATTTATATCATTTTTATAATTAATTCTAATCATATAAAATATTTTAAAATAAAAGAGATTAAAACAAAGTCTAACATCTAAATTTATATAAAATAAAAGTATGTATAACACAAATTTTGATGTATATGTTTCTATAAAATGTCTTCAATTTATATATATATTTAAAATATGAATTATTTAGCTAAAAATTATTTTTGGACCTTAGAATGTAGCTTTTGCATCCTTATTCTATTGTAGCTTCTATTGTAGCTACAATATCTATAATAGAAAAGCAAATTAAAGAAAAGTTTTTAATAGATATTTAAAAGTAATTTTAAGTTCTTAAATAACATTAAACATCATATATAATTCTTATGTATTTTTAAGTTTATAGTAAGTTGCACCTTCTTACAATCCATTTGCAAATTTCTTATTGAAAATGATGTATTTCAAAGACATTAGTTAAGTTGTGTACAATATATAATTTTTTTATTATTTTATTTTATTTCTTATTTTTATCATAGAATATCTCTCTCTCTCTCTCTCTCTCTCTCTCTCTATATATATATATATATATATATATATATATATATATCTTATTTTTTTATACAAAACAAATGTGTCTTCATTTTCTTCTATGTCCTTACAATATATAAAAAATATTTTTGAAACTATCTAAAAATTCACAAATAAAAATATTTAACAATCTTAACATGCAAAGAGAATTTTTTTTAGGTCCAAAAGGCATGATATCGTGTTCAAAATAGCTTTGCCAAATTTGAAATGCAATCTTCTATTTAACTTCTCCTTTGCTACAAACAAAATTTTAAGCTTTTCACAAACTTGATTAATAAAAAAGATTTGTCATCAAATAAAGAATAATTATTTTATTTTTCTATTTTTTTATTCCAAAAAATAATAATAATTTACAAACCAAAGATTTTAAATGCTAAATAAACATTTTTGAATAAAAAAATTATTAATATGTTGTTTGATAATAATTAGTCATTTTTGGAAAAACTTGAAAATTGATCCAAATAGTGGTTAAATATATTTTTGAGTGAAAATTACTTAATGAAATTGATAATGCTTAAGTTATATATATATATATATATATATATATATATATATGAACTACATCTTGATATTTCTTACATTGTTTTAGAATTCTTTTATAATCTCAATTTAAATAAATACTATATGTTGGATAAATAAAAAAATATGTTTCATACTTCTACAATCTATATAAATTTTTATATTTTAATAATTAGAGATATTACTTTTCATATTTTAAACATGATTTTTATTATAATATATTTTATAAAGAAATTTTAGGATTATAACATTTAAATTGTTTTAACAGTTATTTTCTAATAACTCCGATAAACTTATAATAACAAGATTACTTTAAAACTTCATAATTTTAAATACTTTCAAGTTATTATAAATACATATAATTATTTTAACATGAAGAATTTTTTAACTTACATATTAAAAAAACAAATGTTAATTATCTAAAACTTTTACATAAACTATCTTAGTTTTGTACAAAATTTATTTTATAATTTTTAACAAAGTATTTGTGGAGAAAGAATCACAAAATCTAAAAATTGTTTAAGTAAAGGTAGTAATTACACAATTAGTATAACTTAAGCAAAGATGTATTGAAGATTAGAAGATAATTTAAAACCTTAATAATATTATATATAATTTAATTCTTGCAAAATTTAATATTATTATAATTTTAAATTATATAATTTAATAGTGCAAGAATCTAATCATATAGTTTTTATTGTGATTAAGTAAACTTGTTTTTCAACACATTGTATTATTTAAAATTATATTCAATGTGTTTTAGCTTTGCTTATTTTTTAAATATTCTTTGATAATATGATTTATTTTTCTACAATATAAGCACAATCTTTCTTGCCAATTTATTTTTTCTCATATTCTAGAACTTAGAATTCTTCAACATTAATTTGTGTTTCTTTTACAAGTAATTACATCTTGTGATTGATAGAAGCATTGACTACAAGAGTGTCAAAGTGTTATTATATAACTTTTTGAGAAAAAAAATCAAGAACCTGATTTTATCATGTGTAAAAAAAAATCAATCAATTCACTCAATGTGAAAGGCTCGAGCTTGTTAAAAAATAAATAAATATATTATTTTTTCTTTTTTCTCTAAATTGTCTAAGAAGTCTATTATTACCTCACTTAGCATCAATTGTTAATTTTTAATACTTAAATTCAAATCACTGTTGTATTGCAAAACATATATTTTGCAGATTTTTCTATAATTTGCATTATACTTGCCATTTTTAAATTTAAATTCTTCTAAAAATACATCAAAGTTGATGTATATTGTATTATTTTTCTAAAACAACTAAAGAATTAAGAAAGAGCAAGTATACTAAGTAATAGTTTGTCAAACTTGACTTAAAACGATTGCAATAAATAGCTATGAGGTTGGAAGTAAATAAAAAATTACACTTGATTAATGAATCTTTGAAACCTAGACTTAACACCATCAAAATTCTTTAAAAAAGCCACTCTTGATTCTATAAAAAAATATAAGTAAAAATAAACAAAGAAGTATTATATTTGTAAATTACAAAAGAACTAGAATGGCTATTGTTATATACAAAAAACTAAAAAAGCTTGAACCAAGATCACAATATTAAGAAAAGTATCAATGAGATTAAAAATAATCCTAATTTTACTTATATATATATATATATATATATATATATACTTATTAACAGGAGAACTATGTAGAAGGTGTATTCAAATTAGAATGCTTGTAGGCCAAGCAACTAAATTGTAAGATGCTTTTATATTATATTTTACAGAATAATAGTTTACTAAGAGAAATTTCTATAGCCATATGGCATGTCTAGAAGAAATTTTAGATCTAATTCATATTTGAAAACTTTCTTCAACTTTTTTAGAAATGGCAATATCTATTTATCACATTTGAACTTATTTCTATTTATTTAAGCTGCATATAAGTTTGTTACATTAATTTGTTAATATAATTGTATAAAAGCTTGAAATTTAAATATTTTTAATACTTCCAGGTAACCAAAAACACAAAAAAATTCACAAAACATAAATTAAGTTTTTTAAAGATATCAATGATAAACTAAATTTAAAAAACCAAATAAACTTGATAAAAATAATACTTTTTATTTCTGATCAAAAAAATTAATTTTTCTAATAATTATTTTATCAAGATGATTATAAACGAAAAAAAAACTTAATTTATTTAGAATACAAACTTAAGTGTATGGTTAAAATGATCAAAACTTAATCAAAATTTTAAAATCTAAACATAAGAAATGTTAAATAATTTTAGTAATTATAAATATGTTTCTGTTAAAATTTAAACATAAGAATTATTAAGTTTACAAGTGTTTTGTTAAATAATTCTTATGTTTAGATTTTAACAGAAACATATCTCGATGTTTTTAAACTAGATAAATAATTGTAGTTGTGATGATTTTGATTGTGACTCATACAAAAAAATTGCTCATTTATTTTTTTTAAGTTATTAAATTTAATAGTGTTTTTGCAATCACTATCTTATTGCTCAAATAGCTGTAAGGTTGCTCTTTAAGTCGTAAGTGGTTACAAGTAGTACTATTTAAGATGCTAAGGTCATTTAAGTCAAAAGTATCATAGGATAAACCTTAAATGTGCATGAAGCTCTAAATTTTGATTGTTTGATTCATAATTTCAAGATTTATGAAGTTTTAATACTTTTAATATCATAACCAAGAGTATATATTATGTTTGTTATTAATAATAAAAAAATCAAAATCATTTAAGCTTTAAAATTATAATTAAAATTATGACTAGAATAAAATGGTTCAGAAACATTATTTTATGTTGTTAATGTTGTGATTCATACAAAATAGTAATAAAATTAAAATATAATAACAATTATTGAATTGACCCCATAAAAATATATATATTTGTTTTAAAAAAGACTTCCTACATTGTTTCCAGACATGAAGGAGAATTTGAGACTCAGAATTCCTTTTGCTAATTCACACAATGGGGTGAACGTACAGAGCTGAAGTGAACAAAGACGAAAAAATCCTTGATATGAATAGAAGGCAGACAGGTCGAGTAGGGTAAATCATACCACCTCAATAAGATCGAGGCAGCATAATTGTTCAATTGTCAAGGATATAATACAAGTATTAATAGATGCTTTCGCTCACTCTATACACTCCAAAACTGGATGCCTTACCTTCCACTTAATCTAAATAACTGATCCTTCTGTCACATGAATCCTCTTTAAATTGCTAGATACTACTTGTACAGTTAAATGAGGTTCGGACGAGGAGCTGCAGTTGCAACTCTTAATCGCTCGTCCATCCACTCTGCGATCTGCAGACAATCCCCAGGATGACGAGGGAAGAGGACTACTACGAGCTAAGGAGCTCGTACACATTGAAGGAGCATTGTCGCCCTCGATTGATTGTTAAATCGACATAGTGTCAACCTAACAGAGCAGTTAATGCACGAAAAGGTTTTCTGGCAACGACACTTTGGATTGGATTTAAGTTCCGACGATGATTGACCGAATGGCTTGATGCGATGGTTGATTGGAGATCTGCACATTTAGATGACTGTTCCATGCTTGATAACAGCATTCTTGCAAATCACTGTGATGCCGGAGCGAATGTAGAAGCCTTCGCTTGGTCTCGCAGCTTCGAAAACATTCTGAATAAAGTGGAAATTACAAATTAGGACTCGTATTCAATGAAGATATCGCGGTGATCGTGAAAGTTTACAGAAAGCAAAAGTGAGCTACAAGGAGGAAGCCTAAAGTACTTACATCAGTGTTAGCAATGACGACATTGTTGCCGATCCTAGCGTTCTTGTCGATAATGCAATTTCTGATCTTCGTGTTGGTGCCAATGCCCAAAGGCACTTTCCCTTCTTCCAGCAAGGCAGCAGCTTCAGGATCGGTCTCGTAATAATCAGCGCCCATGATCATGGCCCTCTTCACATCACACCCAGACTCGAGCCGAGACCGGATACCGACGATCGAATTCTCAACACTGCAATCCCTCAGGAAGCACCCATGGGAGACAATCGAGTCCTTCACTATGCACTTCTCGATCTTCGTTGGTGGCAGGTAACGTGCGGAGGTGTAGGTCGGTTTCGCTGCGTCGTAGAAGCTAAATTTAGAATTTGGCGATGTGAGCGCCAAGTTGGCATCGAAGAAGGATTTGATGGTACCAATGTCTTCCCAGTAGTCGTTGTAAAGGTACGCATGCACGTTGAACTCCTTAGCAGCTTGGGGGATAATTTCGGAGCCAAAGTCGTTGGAGAGTGGGTATCGCCATCTGAGAAGTTTCGTGAGAACGCTCTTCTTGAAGACATAGATGCCCATGGAAGCGATGTACGGCTTCTTCTTCGCCTCCTCGGAAGACAGGCCCAGCACAGATGTATCTACTTGCTACACAATCGAAACAGCAAGACGATAATGTGAGAACAACCAAAATTGAAAATGAGAAATTGACAACCGATAGCGGAAATAAGAAATCCACTTCAAGGTTTTAACCTAATTCGAGGTTATGAAACAATCAGCTTACCATAGCCTGCAAGTCATCTCCTTTCGGCTTCTCGTTGAAGTAGTTGATCCGCCCCTTTCCGTCAATTTTCATCAATCCATAGTCTGAGGCACGGCTGTCGTCCATTGGCACACAGGAAACCGTCACATCGGCACCAGAATCCTTGTGCTTCTGCACAAAGTCCTCGTAATCCATGCGGTAGAGGTGATCACCTGATAAGATAATAACATCTTCAACGTCCTTGTTCTTGGCATCCTCCAACAACCACAGATATTGTCTCACGGCGTCAGCTGTACCCTCAAACCACTTATCGCCACCAAAACCAGGCCTCTGTGCAGCAGCCAGCACTTCCACGTATCCATCTCCGAAATTGCATCCATTTCCGAAGTTGTATGTTCGAGCGAGATGTCGGTTGAGAGAAGTAGAATTGAATTGAGTGAGAACATAAATCTTGTTGATTCCGCTGTTGATGCAGTTGCTCATCGGCACGTCAATCAATCGGTACGCACCTCCAAGAGGCACCTGATCACATACACAAATACAGAAGATTAGCTCTATCCCTTCAACTTCCAATCATGTGCAATCCCCCAGCTACAAATACCCACGCCAACCAGGAGACAGTACACTTCTACAACGGCATTATTTAGACTTTCATTGTGTACGATTAGCTAGAATGGCCTGTAAGAAGAAAGTGGTCCTTACCGCTGGCTTGGCGCGGCGAAGAGTGAGGGGATTAAGGCGAGTCCCTGCCCCTCCTCCCAAAATGATAGAGAATACTTTTGTCATATTCACTTGCGTCTTCGGAACTTTGGTATCCCGCTCTCGCGTTGCTTGCCCTTGCTGAAACCCACAATACCTCGGTTAACGATAGCGAGCACACATCCTTACCAGTGCAAAAACTGTGTTGACCAAACCGATTTCGCGAATTGAAGCTGACACTAACACATTACAAAAACGACATTCAGAGATTAAGGAAACGGCAGCTTCTTACCAAAGTCTCCATTGGTCGCTCAGCCAAGACAGCAGAAACATTAAGGGTGCTACTCTTTGATCTGATGGCGGCAGCTTTGGAGCAACCATTGCTCTTGAAAGACAAACCGTCGCCACCTGGCGCAAGGAACCCTGCGGAGGAGAGCTTTTTGTCTCCTTTGAAGCCCGAACGCAAGGAGGAGTCACCATCTAGAATAGGTTCGTAGCAAGATGGCCCCGCCAAGGTGCAGTAGCTCGTGGAGGCAAACATCCCTGCTGCTGCCATTGCAGCTACCAACCTTCAAGCTTGAGGCAGCGTCAGGACCTGCTATTGGGAAGCAGACTGGACCCAGCAACACAGAACCTGTACAACGAAATCCAAACAATAGAGCTCAGAAACCACCCACGCGCCTCAATTACAAGATCGCACCGCTCAAATGTGAACTAGCCTCAACAGTTACAGTGTTTCATGCAATCACCAGTAGAGCTGAAAATTATATCATTCGCTTGAAACCGATCACCTCTGAGCATGCAATGCATGCAAACAGAGAATCGTTAATAAAACCGGCAGTGAAAGAACGATCGGGGCTTTGACCGGCAATGCCTTGGTCAGTGATCCCTCAAGCTATACATTGCTATAGACTTGCGAGCTGCGTTCACCAAAACTCGTGCTCCCTCGAAACAACTAGCACAAATGCACAAAAGACTACACTCTCGCCATAGGAGGATGACTACTCCCAAAACGTAGAAGAAGAATGAGAAGCTGAACAGGCTTCACTACTTGCAACCAACACTAAAGACCTTGCAGAATTCTCCGAAGGCACACACACCTTTGCAACTGAAGAACTGCAGCGCACAACAACCAGAATGTCTCCCGCCGCTAAAGCCGCAAATCTTGACCGCGATCAGCAAATCTGAGCAATATCAATCTTGATCTCTCTCTCTTTCCCTCTCCCTTTCTCCGATGAGTGAAGATGTTGCATAAGGCAAAGGCGTGGGAACCTCTTCCTCTTCTCTATGTCTACTACACCGCTCTAAAATGTGAGTGTCAAATGCTGAATGTATGTCTTAGATGTGCCCACAACTATACCAGACCTGTGCTATAAATATGCAAAATAAGCCGGGAGCAAGTGTGTTCCAAGAGCGGCCATAGATGGTCGATTGTCACTCAAGTGGGGGACCCCCAACGAATAAAACTCCAACACCATACTCCCTCCTCGCCCCCAAAAATGCCCCTGTATTTTTATTATTCCAATTCCACCCTGGGATTTCCACACAACCGTCCGTTACAATTTCCTCCCCGAATTTTCCCAATCGTCCATTTCACGACACCTTTCCCACAGTCAACCGACCACGCTTCCTACTCCCGTGTTTCCTCCCTTCTAATTTTACATCGCTCAGGGCCTCGCTGCAACCATTCCATCGTTTTACCACGACATTACAGAAAAAGAAATAAAATCCCTCCACCGCTATCAGGACACAGCGGAGTGGGAAAAAACCAGCGACACCCGGGGTAACTTTCGTAGTCCTTCGTGACGCCACCACAGGTGTGACGATTGATGGCTTCCAAGGAATTCTTCCGAGCCGGCAGAAGAATAAACAACAGAAATGAGCGACATCTTTCACCATTGTGCTTGATTTGGGGAAAATCGAAAGAGACTCTCCAAGAAGCAGGTCCATTGCAAACCAACCTCCAACTTGGTTTCAGATCTCTGCAGTCCGGCGAACGATATGCCGAACGAACGAACGAACGAACGAACGTCGAATTTTGCCAATGATTGTTCCGCGGAAAATTCACCGAAGTCTGCGTCAGCGGGCTTTGTCAGCATGCCAGCATGGCAACTCGGTCTCTGTGGTGCCACCTGAGCGACTGAGACTCTCCCGACGCTAATATTAGACGACCAATTGCGGAATTCGAGCTAGAGGAATTGAACGAGAACCGTTGAGTTTGGGGGCTAATTGGAAATTAATAAAAAAATTGGCAGAGAGTATTCGGAATTGAATAATGGCTAACATCATGTTATTCTATTCAACGCATGCCCGATGTAGGGCCTGGATCAGGCAGGTCCCGCCGCGTGTGCATCTTAGTGGCTCTGTTTCCTTAGCTTCGGCTGCATGTTCTTCTGTGCTTTGTCTGCCAAATTTTCTTCCACCTCTGTTCAAATTCAGTCCCGGGGATCGCATGACGACTGTGTAACGAGATGTTGGCTATTCAAAGATAGTCATGTAAAGAGCGATCAGTGCTGATCCATCCACCTTTTCTCGTTCTTGTTCTCTTTGACCCTGCTTTATTAAGCTCCTTCCATGGAATGCTTTTAGCTAGTCTCTGGGATTTGCCATTGAGGTTTGTTGCGTTTATATTTGCCCGTCAGCTGCATTATGCGGTTGCATTTCAGAGCTGATCTCCTCTTTTCCTTTGTTTGTGCCCTCGTTCTCAAAATTTGGATTGGCTCAACCTCAGAATGTTGTGTAAACTTGAAGCCAAGGCTTAATTAAGTGGTGGCTGCAGCGGAAGCCTGCACCCTGCAATGCCTGCCAAGTGCTGACATGGGGGGTGTGGCACCGATCTGAAGGATTGACATTTAACACATTCGAAATCCCAACTCTTAATAATACTCAATCACTCTCTATTCTTTTTTGCATTTGCTCTGGGCCTGCCACTCAAGCCCAAATTCACTGCCTTGGAATAGCAAACCCCTACTTAATCTAACATTTTTGAGTGGTTTTCCTTTTTCTCATTTCTTACTGTAGCTATTCATCAAATGACAGGACCTGAAGCATAAGAAAATATTTTGTTTTTTGTGAGGAATGGAGCATGTGGATTCATTGAACAAAACAAAGAAGGTAAAATACACACCTCCTTTCTCAAGTGAAGTTACATTGTCTTGTAGCTAGCCTGATGGCTAATTGAGGTCAACTTGTTTACCATGTGATATACAAGTATACTTTATACATATATTGTTGGCTGTGTGGGGTTCAAAAAAATGAACAAGGCTATTGGTAGATTTTTAACACTAGATTTTTTCCCTACCAACTTGACAGCAACTTGGGTTGTAAAGGGGAGAGCCCCAATCACACTATCACAGGTAAAAGGAGGACATGGCATAGCATGACAGTCATGCTCTCTCTTTCTCTGTCCAAGAAGCTCCAGCATGGACAGCACCAGAGAAGTAATAATCTCAACTGAAAGGAAAGGAGGAGTGGAGGCAGTACCCGTGACAGATGTGAAAGACATATCTCTGGCTCTGGCTGTTTGAGAGGGACTTCCTTTGGCTGCTAAACCAACAGATACTTGGGCTGCTTCACAAACAGATGCTTGGGATGTACCACAAATCACTGCAAGGAAAATAAAAATAATAAATAAAAAAAATGGAACCTCTGACAGAGGCTAAGGGGCTGTACTTGACCACAATTCAGCAGATGGTGTTTTTTGAAAAATTATTTACCCCTGCTACAAAATGATAAGCCAAATTGATAGGTCACAAATCTCTACTGTATTCTTCCACAGACTCTTTTTATTCGTGTGTGTAGATATATGTGTGTGCATATGTAGATTTTATTTCTTTTGTTATTTATTTATTTATTTTGGCAGACATGCGCATGGATACTAGAAACAAGGGGTGATTCCATGTCCAGCTTTCAATATGTCTACATGCAATTATTCTGTGATAACCAGTGGTTTGAATGCCTGAGGGAGCTGCCCATTTGAGGAACATAACTATATTCTCTGGCATTGAATTGAATGGGCCCTAGAAATGAGGTTGAAGCATGCTGAACAAAGTACACTCACACATAGCCATCACAAATTGCTATGGATCTGCCTAACTCCAGAATTGTGCACTATCAGCAATTGCTAAATTAATCTTTATCACTATTTATGCAGCAGAATTTCACTTCACCTTGTGGTAACAACAGCTTGTTACAAGTGTGTCAACAAGGGAGTGAGGGATTGGGGTTGGTTCCCATGCCACATTTACTCAAAAAAGAAAAAGGAAAAAAGAAACAATAGAATCTGCTTCCACAGGAACCTGCATTTTTATGTGCATGAGCCTCAAGTCACATCTGTCCAATTTATAGAGCCAACACAAAACATTCAACAAAGGTGGCACTGGTCCTAGGCTCCAAACAAGCACAGCCCTTAACATGTAGCCAGTTTTGTTCAGGTTTGGTATCCATTTGAGCACAACCTTGAGGACTAGCAGGGTTGCACAGATGTATGACATCTGGTGGAACTGATATTTTCTTCCCCTGCCTCGCGTAGTTCCCAAGTACTTGTGGACAAGCAGGACACAGTACATACATTCACTCAGTCCTTCCATCCCCTTTGTAGCTGCTACATTGATCACCTTCTATGAAACTGAAAAAGGGAAATAAATTGTAACTCAACAAGGCCAGAGCATCTGACACTTGTATTGCAGATATTTGTATGCTACAAGGAATGGGGGCCAGTGAGGAAGTGAAATGGGATGAATGAGAGAATCCTTGTTGCACACTAAGACAAAGGAGATTTCAGTTTGTGATTTGGGTTCATGCATTTGGCTCCAATCTGAAGTAATTGATCCCCTTCACCCCAGCAGTAAAATAAGAAGAAATCGTGACCATTTGAATGACCCGATATTCCCCGATTTGCAATTAGAAGCAAGTGTGTTGAAAGCTTCTACACCAAAAAGTGAAATTCCACTGTTAGAATTGAAGTATTGCCTTTGACAACCTACATTTATTTAGACTACAGGAATCTTCTTATTGAAGGGAAAGAGAAGAATTCACAAATATCATGCTTTAAATAATCCCTTTTTTATTTTGTAGAATGACTGATGACCTCTCTCAAAAAAAATCTCAAGATTTCTCTGTACAGGATGGACTGGCGGCAAAGACATTCTGGAACATAGGGTGGAGCTGCTTGAATTTCTAGTCGTCGTGAAATCCCACCTCAGAAAGCAAAAGGGTTTGAAACGAAGAGTGAGCTCACGAGGGTTCCAGAGCTGGAACTACAATGGGAGAATGGATGAAGGCTTTTCGATATGTGAATGAAGATGGTCATCAATCAGGGAGGAAGTTGAATGAGTCCCCGTTAGTCTTTCAGGGTCCTGAAGACTTCACAGAATAATCAGAATGACAGGTTCACCAAAGTTCCATCTCTGCACCCCCTTTTGCCGGTGATCTGTACAAACGTGGCATCGCGAAAATGCATCCGTGGACAATGAGCGGTACACAATGCGGGGCCATTGCAGGCTCTCGGGACTGACTTCCGGAGGCGACAGAAAAGCGGTTGAGGGCTGCTACAGCAGCCGTTCACGACGAACGCACACCACCCAGAATTGCACGAACGGCCAGCGCTTCATTGCAGAGCTTCGCCACGACCAACACGGCGCCGCGCTGTGCGTTTGCGAATTTTATTCAGCTGAGTGCGCTCTTTTCAGGAACATGCTGTCGTTTAAGCACCCTCAACTGCACAAAATCTAATTGCAATCCAACTGGACCTAGAAGAGGTGGAGCAAAGAAGCACGCACACATCTGCATTGACACCGCACCTGATACGATTACACAACATTCGAACCTGCTTCCACACAGGAATTGCAGATGGGAAAGGGGTCCTTTCACGAAGATATTTTGTTGGGAGTTGGTTCATGGGGAAAGAATGGTTTCTGCACCGGTGGCGTGAAACTGTTGTTGCAGGGGCGAAAGCGGCTGTGAGTTGCCAGCGCTTTTACCTGATGGGGCTGACAGACAGATAGTCCTCCACCGTAGTGGACACACCCCCATCCATGCTTCACCGTCACCCTCGCTTCATTCACCCCTACGAAGCAAAGCATGGCACTGGGGCTTGTCGCTTCCTTCGCGGGGCTTCTGCTGGAACGTTGTACTCTCTTCAGGATCTCGAACGGTGCCGGAAGCTTCTTCGTTTATCCTCCGCGGCAAGTGGCCAGGAGTAGTGGGTTCCATTCTTGAAGGACGAACTGACGTGGAAACCCAGGCAGATTCTGCCCTGCCCTTTGAACTGAAAATTTAAAGTAAACGTAAAAAGATAAAAGGTGTTCTGTTACGCTTTCAGCTACTTGATAAAAGCAAAGGGTAACACACCAGGGACGGAGAAAATGATATGGAATATTTATGACAACAATGGTTGTTACACGTACTTGTTTTTGACCACTTGAAAAGTG